AAATTTATTTTTCCAACCGTCGTTATATTATCGGAATAATTAAACCGAGTCTCGCGAACTGGTAGTCGAAACCAAGAGGAAACCGGCCCGTGCGCCCGTGAAGCCCGGCACTTGCGACCCACGCCTTCGGCCCCTTTAAGCTATTGTATTTACTCGGCCCAAATTGTATAGTCTCGGCCCAAACTTTGTAATTTGGCCCAATATAGTTCTCTTAAGTCGAGATGTTGAGCCCATCTTCTTCAACCTAATCTCTCTATCGCTAAAAATCACGCCGCAACCCTCAAAGAAAACGCTCATCTCTCTCGCTCTCCCATCACGCAAGCAGAAGAAGAAAAATCTCACTCCCTCCTCCCTTGTCGCTCACCTTCATCATGCAGGAAGGAAGAGAAGAAATCTCTTCTCTCTTCATCCCTCAGTCAACACGCCCGCAGTTCATCTCTCAATCTCACCCTCTCTCCCTCGCCTTCCCAATCGCCATCATCTCCGGCGAGTCAGCGCCGCTGCTTCCTGGCGAGCCCCTGTTTGTGAGCTCTCTCTCTCTCTGCCACCCGCTGCCTTCGCCTGCCGCTGCAACACGCCATCGCGAGCCTCCTCTGCGGCCTGCAACTCCTCGCCGCGCAAGCAACTTTGGCGAAGCCCCTTCGCCGCCGACGACCAGCAGCTCTCTCTCGCGACCGCGACCCCGCAGCAGCAAGCTCTGGCGACCCACGCAGTACCCCGACGAGCCTCTTCAGTCGCTGCTCCTCCTTCCGGCGAGACGCGTGAAACCGTCGAGCCCGACGTCCCGTCGACCCGTTCGAACCTTTCTCGCTCGTCCCGAGAACGGTATCGAGTCTCGACTTCTCGTTTATGTTTACATAATTAATGTTGTGATCGTTCGTGCCTTTCGTGTTCGTATAAAATTATGATTTTATGTGATTATGTTGTTTCGATAATAATATCGTCGTGATTTTATGTGAATTTCGTTGATTCGTGCTAATCGAACGAGAACTCATTATAAGTGATTAGTTGCTGTGGATTTAGGGACTTAGGATTGTCATGAACACAATGGCTTTGACCTTGTGTCATTTGGATTTGTAGATTGGGAGATATGAATTCTTTAAGTTCAAAATCGCTGTTTATTGTGATAAATTCACAAAAAATTGTGTGTTGCTCCGATTGCTTTGAAATTTTAGGTGTAACTGCTTATGATAATTTTGTAGTTTGTGTAAAAATTTCATAATTTTTCTCGGCCCGTAGCTATTTTTAATAATTAAAGTAATTTCTGAGCAGATTCTTGTTAAATGCATAATAAATTGGTCCGTGCTTCAAATATGCTGAAATATTAGTATGATGTGCTTCTGTTATGTTTTTATGTTGTGTACAATTGTTAGAATTTTTGGACTAGGTTTGCTAGGGTAAATAATTTATTTGTGTAATCTGCTGAATATTGTTATATTTATGAAAAATCGATCAGTCGCTGAAACATTCTGATTTTTGGCTGAAGTGTTTTATTTGTGTTAAGTTCCATTCTGTAAAAAGATAAAAAAAATGTTGAATTTCAAATT